TTTACAACGAGAGCGATATAATAACGCGGTTTTTACAATAACAAAAACAACAAAAACAAGCGACGGTTCTCGAGAGAGTGAATTAGAAACTATAACGGCCAAGCGTCCGATGGGGAAGTGTTATCACCAGATAGTACACTATCAGGATGACCAACTTGAGTGTTCACCCGAACAGAAATCGTATACGAGAGTTTTACTAATTTCTAAAATTGCGAAACCTACGTAAACTGGTTTACAAAAAATGATAATTTTCTTTTCCAATACAAACGCTGATAAATTTTCACTGTACGTTGTACAATGTTTGAAATTATGCTTTCTAATTAATTTAGCCGCTCGTTTAGGATTATTGACCAATTCCATTTGCGTTCTAAATTGTACACGTTTCATCATTTTACCTGTTAACAAACAATATCGTATTAAAATTATGTTTATATATTTTTTATTTAATTTTAAAAACTTACCAAAAACAGCGTTGTTCATTAATTTAAAAAAGTCTTTTTCAAAATCATTTTTAGCTTTCTGTCTCATCTCCGTGTTGAGTTGTATATATTTTGATAACCATGCCGACTGCTTAAATTGTAACACCTTATGCACCTGTAATTTAATGACATGTTATTATTATATTTTTAAAGTATAATTTTATGAATTACCTTTTCTACTTTTAATCCGTTCGCCATAGCCTGTTTTAAATTTAGATAATGTATAACGTAGTTTTCTTTCCGATCGAAAGTAGACATCAGTTTTTTAACCCGTGAATTAGGTGGAAATTTTCGTTCAGGTAGAAACGGCATTTCGTTGTGGGCATCATGTAACTCTTTCAGGTACGACACCGTCACTTCAAGGGCCATTCCTACAGGAGAATCCGCAGGTAACTCTTCCACAGTCTTTAAAATTTTTGTTTCGTCGTCCACGTCTAACCACTTAAAGTCACCACATGGCATATGTTGAGACATACTCCAACCATACAAATTATTGACATCCAAATATATAATTTCAGATTTTTGTTGTTTGATATCATAATGAGGCGTCTTTTCATTGTTGGCTGTGTTATGTTTCAACACCGAAGTTGTCATTCCTCCCCGTATTCCTCTCTCAATAAAGAGTTGCTGTTCATAATCACTCATAAGATCTAATGAAACGCCCGTATGCAGTAACATAGCGTCAAAAGACAGACCGGGACTCGTAAAATAATATGCCGGTTCCAATTTATATTTTAGTAAACATAACTTGCGAAAATTCGTAAAAACGTCCGCAAGTATTGTTACGTCAGTTTTCAGGTACAGATCAGAGTACTCACCGAGCGTTTTACAATTGAAATGTTGCCAGACGTTTTGTGCATGTTTGTATTCGGCATCATCTATATGCGTTTCTGACGGATCATTATACAAATCGGCTTTTGGCGGCAATTGTTTTTCTTCGAGTACATCCCAGCTTGAGGTGTATGAATACACGCCTTAATACGGGTACACGCCTTTACGGGTCACCGTCCGATGAAAACTCTTTTGCGGTTTCTTCAAATAATTTTATGTCGGCGGCGCGCAAATTTTCAGCGAGAGCCGCTAAACTAGTACTCATAAAACGAAATGTATCGACGAACCTTAGTGAAAATTTGTTTGAAACAAATTTTGAAAAAGAAATATATTTTTCTTCTGTAGCGGGTATTACACTTATTCTACTAGTATCTCTTCCAAGGGCTTTAACTAAAAAGTGTCCATCGTACGAGCTAAGATTATGGAAATATACGTTTACAAACTTGGGCGTTGTTAATTTTAAATTGCAACTGTTACAAAGTGTTTTTCTAAAACTACCTGAAACGAATATAAATATATATATATATATATAAATTTTTCTTTTTATATTAATTACAATACATTTAATATAGTTATGTTTATGATTTACCTGTCAAATGATCATGGTCTGCTACTTTATGATTTTTCTCTGTAAAACCACCTTTACACAATTCACAGCAGGTTTTCTTTATATGCTCTTCAGTTTCTTCGTGTGTCATACAAATATCAACGTTCGTCTTGAGTAACTCTTCAATTTTCAACACCACTTCAGTTACGTCATCCATGAAACGATTAACTACTTCCTCCGGCTCACTGCTTTTATTTCCTCTGTATATTTTGGGCGTCGTTTGAATATTATACTGTTGCAATAATTCTATGGGTACACTGTCGGCTGCTTTTACTATGTATCCATAGCTCATTGCAACATGTTCATGAACAAAATTTGCTTTAAGCAAGTAAATAATATTCAAGAAGATAGGGTAAGCAATAGTAATGAACCTGATTTTAAACTTTTTGAAATTAATAATAATAATTTAATAAAATATGAATGGGTTGAAAATATTAAAATAAATGATAGTTACACAATTAACCCATCAACGCCTGGCGTCCCCATATGGTGACATTCGTATTGCTATTTTTATCGCGCGTTCTTAGAATACCCGAATGGAACTACTTATCGGCTATCACGCACACCGATAATACATTGTTTTTACTTTGTTTTGACATAATTTGTGTCAAAATAATTTTTTTTTATTTTTGTGTTGTATATTAATCTGTTTTTAGTAAAAAAAATAGAAAGTTTGAAAAAAATAATTCTCGGCGTTGATGGGTTAAGTTTAAACTTGATACTGGGTCAAACATTGATATTATACAGGTAAGCATTTATAAAAAAATAAAGTGTGAAAAAAATATTAAGAAACTTAAAAATGCTTATGGTGGTTTTAAAATAAAAAATTTGGGCTATGTTGATTTAAAGTGTAATAATAAAAACATAATTAATAGGTTTATTATTGTTGATGATTGTAATAATAACTGTATTCCTATCTTAGGTTTAAGTACATGTATTAAATTTGGGTTTATAAATAGGATTAATAATGTAAATAATATAAATGTACTGCCAAGTGATGGTATGGATAATATAATAAAAAAATATATTGTAGTATTTGATGGATTAGGATGTTTTCCTGGTAAATATAAAATAGGAATAAAAGAAAATTGTTTGCCTAAACTTAATCCTCCTAGAAGAGTTCCTGAAAGTATCAAAAATGAACTTAAGAAAACGTTATTAGATATGTGTGATTTGGATGTAAATGTAAAGGTTGAGTGGCCACAGGGATGGTCTAGTAACATAGTTATAGTTGAAAAAAAAGATAAATCATTAAGTATTTGTCTTGACCCAACTGAGTTGACTAAAGTTATAGTAAGAGATCAATTTTTAATCCCTACATTGGAAGAACTTAGGATCAACTTAAGTGGTAAAAGTTGGTTTACATTATTTGATTTAAAAAGTGGATTTTGGCAAATGGAGTTAGATGAAGCCTCTAGTTTTCTTTGTACATTTAGTACACTCTTTGGTTTTTATCGATTTTTAAGATTGCCTTTTGGTTTGTCTTGTGCACCAGAGAAATTTCAAAAAAGAAACTTAGAATGTTTTGGTGACATTGAAGATGTACTAATTTACTTTGATAATTTGCTCATAGCAACATTAGATGAGTAAAAGCATGATTTAATAGTTGAGAAAGTCTTAAAGAGAGCAAAGGAATTAAATATAAAATTTAATAGTAATAAAATTCATTATGAACAAAGAGAAATTAGATATCTGGGAATGAATTTCAATAATGAAGGCATGAAACCAGATGATGACCGAGTAAGAGCACTGTTAGAGTTGAAAGCACCTAAAAATAAAGTAGAGTTACAAAGACTGTTAGGAGCATTTAATTACTTGAGATATTTTATACCTAATATGTCTACAATTATAACACCATTTAGAGATTTGTTAAGAAAAAACATTAGTTGGTGTTGCAGTAATACTCATGATGATGTTGTGAATGAGTTAAAAAAAAATATTTCTAGTCCACAGGTATTGGTTAATTTTGACCAAAGTAAAGAAATTACACTACAATGTGATAGTTCACAAACTGGTTTAGGTTGTTGCTTACTTCAAGAGAATAGGCTTATAGCATTTTCATCAAGAAGCTTAAATGAAACTGAGCAGAGATATGCACAGATTGAGAAGGAAATGTTAAGTATAGTGTTCGCATGTAAGAAATTCCATAATTATATATATGGATACAAAATATTTGTACAAACAGATCATTCACCATTGGTGACAATTTTTAAGAAAAGTTTGGATAAATTTGTTTTTGTAAGATTACAAAAAATGAAAATGAAAATTATGATCTATGATCATAATGTTAATAATTTACCTGGCAAACTTATGTTCATTGCAGATTTGCTGTCTAGAGACTATTTGAATGATGTAGACTCAGAGGAAGAGATAGAAGGAGTTATTCATGCAATAGATTATAAAAACATTAATGTTGAAATAATAAGTTTAGAGACAAAAAGTGATATTGAATTAAAAGAAGTGATTAAAATATATAATAAAGGGTGGCCTACTAATAAAAAAAATTTGCATGAAAGTATAAAACATTTTTGGAAATTAAAAGATAAAATTGTTGTAGAAAGTGGGATAATTTATTAGATAACACAATAGTTGTACCTAAAAGTCTGCGAAATAAAGTTTTAAAATTAATTCATGAAGGACATAATGGAGTTGTAAAAACGATACTAAGAGCCAAACAATTAGCTTATTGGATTAGTATGGAAAATGAGATTAGACAGTTTGTTAACAAATGTAATGTGTATGTAAAATTTAGGAATGCTAATATTAAAGAACCACTGATTTCACATGAAACCCCAACATTGCCGTTTGAAATAGTAAGCTGTCACATACTAACATTGGGTGGTAGTGACTATTTAGTAATAGCAGATCATTATTCAAAGTGGTTAGAAATCAATAGAATACTAAGAAAAACTGCTAATGAAATGGTTAGTCAATTTAAGACTATTATGAGTGTACATGAGTGTCCCAAAATAATAGTATCGAATAACGTACCATTTGGTTCACATGAATTCAGAAAATTTTGAAAAGAATATAACATTGAACTTAGAACATCTAGTCCTAACTATCCTCAGTCAAATGGTTTATCAGAGAGAAGCAAATGGAAGTTCCTGTGTTTTGCCCCATGACTCGAACTTTAATTTAGTGCCCTCTTCAGGCATTATAGGTAAGAACGGTTTGTTTTCGCCACAAATTTTTTTATGTTCTTCTAGCGCCTCAACTCCACGTAGTTTATACATTTTAGGTACATTATTAAAGCCCGTGAAACACCGTTTACAAAATATCCTTTTTGCTGTATTCTTTGTTATTTGTGATTGTACCAATCGACTAAAATCGGAAATATAAGTATAACATCGATATTAGCAGATACACAGCATTGTTATTATCAATTGTAGTAAGGCACATTGTTGTGAGTTTATAAATACACTAACTGACAATACAGAAAGTATATCTATTGATAATCATAATTGATAATAAACAATCCGTGACTGAGACAGCAATGTCATAAAAATCCAATTAGCTACCTATATTTGTAATCCCTTGTGTATTATACCTGTATATTAATTAAAAAATTTGAAACTTTAAATGTTTATATCTAATAAACAAATTAAGTTTTATTAAAAATTCAAATGCCATTTACTATTGAATTAAAAACTCAAACATTTTATTAAATTAAAAATATGTGTTACCATTAAAAAAAACAAAGTTGACACCCTTGCCAGGCCTAAGGGATGAACTTAAAAAGTATTACATAGTTATAATTCAAGAATAATGTGTAACTAAAGATAATAATAAAAAAATTTTTTTAATTTATTATTATTCTGTAAGTAATTGAGTGGGTTATGATAAAAAAATCACTCTGTATATTAGAAACGAAAAATTACTACCTTTACCAGCATAGTTTTCCTGTTCTTCTAATAATTTTGTGTATGAAATATCCACAGCATGATCGATATCGTCCTCGTTAATTAACTCGACTGCCGACGTTTTAAATGACCGATTTTCATACTTGTTTTCATTATTCAGTACAGTATAAGTCGCCTCCAGTTTTAAGTTGAATTTTATCGGGCCCATTTCTTTAAGACAGTCGCGTAATTTTTCAACTAAATCGCCTCTTGTTGCCGACAAAAACGCTTGATACCGGACTACATTTTCAATATTCTTTTTGTAAAACCATAAAATTTGACTATTTAATGATTCACCCGTTTTATGAAAACCGCTCGTCGTAATGTCTAGTAATCGTTTCACCTTTACCCGTTTACTTTTAATCGTATTGTCGGTGTTACATTGTTTGCGACGTTTAGGACTAATTGCACTGGGGCCTACCTGCATTCTCTCCACAACACTTACATTTTCTAAAAACAAATATTCATATATTAATTTTAGCATATGAATTTTTAATAATATATTTTCTTTACTTACCACTCATTGACATAGCCCTCGAATCAGCATGATTTCCAATAGCAATATTATAGTCCACACCATACTTTACGAGATCCAAAATATTACACTTATATTAACACTCTACTAATATATTTTCTCTTTTCATATTACTATTTTACTAAATAATCAATTGTAATACTCACGATGAATTGTCTTAACATGACGCGAGAGTGCCCATTTATCCGAAAAAATAGATGGACATAAATAACACCTAAATCGTATACCATCATGACTCTTTAGATGACGTACCAGTCCATGTTTGAATGCAAACACTTTTTCACACTTGTCACAAGAAAACATTTTTAAAACGTTTAACTGTCACTATTAATTTTACTCGAGTAATAATCCGTCTTTTATGCGACAATATTCATTAAATGTAATAAAATCAATTATATATATATGAATCACAAAACATATATCCCCGTAAATTAACCTTTTCTTTCACCACATAAACATTTTTAACTTATAATTACTTATTAATTACAATTTAAAAAGTAATTTCTAAAAAGTGTTCATGTAGATGACGTGTGATATTTACTGTCATGAGAGAGCCCTCCACTCTTAACTTTTCATGTGAAGAGGGCCCTATGCCTTTCACCATATCCCCCCCCGACGTTTACACCGCCCGACAACCTAGGACAGGGTAAACCCACAACATATGGGTTAGGGGGGGGTCCCAGCTCATACTTTACACCCCTACTTATATTATTACCTGAATTTATTAGTTTATTAGAATTCAAGTAAAAGTAAAATAAAACGTAATTAAACAACACCATACATTTTTACATTTTTATTTCTAGAACAAATCAAAATAATACATTGTAGACAAAAAAAAATAATTCGAAAATATTAGCCTGGATAATAATATTAAGTTTTTAATTAAAAAATTTCTCTCAAAAACCTCCAACATTACTGTTAGCAATTGGTTTTAAAAACATAGAAAGTACAAAGTCAAGGTATGATCCGGTTGTCTGTTCGTTTTAGACAAACCGGTAACCTCAGCTCATCTTGATGACTCTTCGATTACACACTAACTATGCTCAGGAGCGGTTGACTTATTAATTACCACTTGCCATTGTTTATTCAAGCTTTACTTTTCGATTAATTTTTATTTAGTTATCCCATTCATCTAGAGAAAAGTATTCCGATGACGTATCGGAGCTAGAACTGCTCGACATCATACTTGCCCGACGAAACATTGGAATACCTAATGGGTTCATTCTTTCAAAATCATTTTCGTTTATTTTTGGATTTTCTATTACTGAAACTACTGGCTTCACCGGCTATAAAATATTATACTAAGATTGTATATATTTTTAAATATTTTATTTTGACTACTCGAGTCAAGCAACAGATTGTGAAATCA